GGTGACCTGTCCTAAGTCAGCTGGGATAGACTCCAGCCCCCCATGACCCTAGTGAGGATTAAGCGGTGTATAGATAATGGATGGATGGATGTGTATAGGGTACTTCTTTTACATTAAAATACTGACCTGTAACAATAAAATATACAGTAACAGTCGCGCATGTAGAGTCATAAAGAGAGCAAACTAATTATAAGACTCATGAAGCAATATCTGTCTAAAATTAGTTATCATTATCCATCATAAGCTTCTGATCACATTGGAGGATAAAGCTGTAGCTGCCAAACCACGAAGAGTGTTAACTGAGCAAAGACAGATTATGTTGCAGATTAGTGCAACTTTTTCTTTTTTTAGTCAGAGGAAAAATTAGCAATGTATTTGCAATGTTGTGTAGTTTAAAAGTCATGGAGCACTTACAAACACAAATGTAAAAGTATTTCTCACTGTGCAGTGTTGCAGATGTTTTATAGCAGGCAAAAGTGAACATATCTCTTTAAGCAGAGTCATCTTTAGACACACAATCAGAGTTCTGTGCCAAAATAGCAACAACTTACTTTTCCAGTTCTGAATATCTCTGCAACTCTCTTTGTGCCACGAAGCACATGTTTCCATATGTTGTTGTTGTTCTCTTCATGAATGTTATTTTTCTAAAAAAATGTTTTTAGAAGACCTAGATTTTAGCATCAGCGTTGTGAGAACCGTCCTCTAATTTATGCAAAGCTCTCGAGCATGCAGCAAAGGTCTGGTAGCTTTCATACCCAACTAGGTCACCGAGAAAAAAATAGCATTGTTGTTGTCAGCCACTCTCACCTGTTGGTACTTCTGCCACTTGAAAGAATATTTCCCCCAAAACTAGGTTGGGAGGAGGTCAGGCCAACCTTGAGCTGTGAAAAATGATAGAGGAAAGATAGAGCAGGCTTTTTTAATATTAAGGACACTGTGGTTTCATCCAAAAAAATTCTGAGCTGCCAACTGTTTGAGCAGCAGTCACAAACACTTCCTCCCGCAGCGGTGGATTCAGTTTGCTCTCTGCTGCTGTGAAGTGAACTGTCTCATTCTTTCCCCACCTTGTGAAATTTTCCTGTCCTTAGCGACTTGCGCATTTGACCTCACTGGGTGCTGTGCTGTCATCACTGTGAACCTTTTTTTAAACAACCTGAAGTGACTTTAGACAGCTTTTCATGTGGTGACGCACTTTTATTTTCAACTATTCCACTAGAAAACTGCTTTTGAGATGAGATTGTGCTTTCTGAATAAACTGGAAGCCTGAAACAAAGCCAACGTGATTCAACATTACTCCAGTACCCTGTGATGATTTGAATTCCTTTCGCCCAGTCAAACTGAAATTGTGTGTATCCCACCTCAGTGACTCAGACACAGTGTTGCCTATCTTTTCTCACGAGAAAATAAATAAATCTCTGAACTCGTGAGGGAACTCTCCTTGAGCGAGGCTGCAAACATTCCATCCTGCAGATGCTAAATAAATAAATAAATAAAACACTTCAGAAGTTATCTCTGAGAAACTGATGGGATGAGATGAATCAGGCCTTTGTGAGCCAAAAGCAGCAGAGGGAGACAGTGAGAAAAAAAAAGGCAGCAGATACAAATGCACATATGTGGTGGCTATTGCATGAGCGTGATGGACGTGGCTATTCGTTGGTATGTTGGTGCTCTCTACTGGACAGAAATGAAAAATGCATCAGGAGAGTAAGAGAGGAGGAGCAGAGTTCTTACAGGGCCACATTCAAAGCATTCAGTGTGGATAATGAATACTTCACAATATCACTGGTGCAATAAATCACACCAGCACTAATTACTAATCCCAGTGTACACGCATGATAACATGAGCACACAGAACAACCCCGTGCACCTGATGAAACTGATACCATCGTGATAATGAGGGGGAAAGTAAAATATCAAGAATGATTCATGAAATTATGAGTGGTATCATTACTATCTGATTACAAAAGGGTAATAATTTCATTACTGAGCAGAGCAATAATATTCACACTGAAGGAGAAAAAAAAAGGAAAAAGGGGTCTGACTTTAATAGATATTAAAATAAATCATGCTAAACACCCATGAGGAAAGGAAAATGAATTTTCATAGAGGACGCCCTCCCCCCTCCAACCTCACTATTTATTGTGTTGTTTTACAACAATAAATCATCAAATCAGTGAATGTAATTAGGGTTAGGGCAATTAGGGAGAAAGCTCTACAAATTGATTTTAGTACAAATGCAACACAATAACACAACACAAAGTAAATGGTGCATAATTATTCATATCTTTCAAGTCGATTCTGAGCAGAGGTCTGTTTTTTTTTGGACAGCAATGAAAGCCTCAGTTTTTATCATTGTTCTATATCTGCTTTCAATGTGCATTTTTTTTGTTTTTTTTACCCAATTCTTCTTTGCAGAATTGCAGAAGCTCTGTCTAGTGCGACACGGGGCATAAGTTAACTGTAATTTCCTTCCTTTCTTGTCGAGATGAGGTCAGGACTTTTGCTTAACCACCAAACAACATTAGGACTGTTGTTTTTCAGTCGTTTCTGTGTAGCTGTGTTCATGTTTAGGGTTGTTGTCTTCTCCCAAGTTGCATTTCTCTTGCAGACCGCAGCAAGTTTTCCTCCAGGATTTCTGTGTTTTGCTACATTCATTTGACCCTCTGCTCTCACAATCCATCCAGGGCCTGCTGCAGAGAAGTGTCAGCATGACGCTGCCTCCACCAAGAGTCATGGTAGGAATGCAGTTTTTCCGCTGATGTGCAAAGAGGTTAGAATTTATTTCCTCCAAAACATATTCTTGAACTTATCATACTATTATCTTAACACTTTGTTCATTTTGTGTGCCTCCTTTAAAGTTTCCACAGGCCTCCGTGCCCTTCTCGTAAGCATACCAATTTTAAAAAGCACACATCTGCATTTATTCCATATTTCGGTTTGACCTTACCGCAGTCTGGCGGATATTCGGTGCATTGGAAATTTTCTACCATCCCTCCTCTGATTTGTATTTTCAGTAGCTTTGAGATGTGCTTGTTAAAATTGTATCTCATCTCGTTGCAGATTTAAATATATATTTTTTAAACTGACTCAAAATCAATCCTATAGATAGAGTCATGTTTAACATAAAGTAGCCTATCATCCTTTAAGTCTAATATATACCACTTAAATAATAAAGTAGGCAAACACAGACAAACATTTGGAATTTGGACTGCTTTATAGAGATTTATAATCACTTTAAGGGGTCATTAAGTCATTTAAAAGTTGTTTTTCTTTAATCCAATAATTGTTAAATGAGAACAGATACTGCGGTTGTATGTTGTCAAATATATACATAAATACATATTTTAAAGAATAGTATGCCAACAAGTCCTCCGTGAAGCTACATATGAATGCTATCTAAAGCACTTTGTAACTTGCTTTCAAAGGGTTCTAGAAATAAAGTTTATTATTTTAATTAATCTATACATTCATTTCTCGGCGTTGAAGTTTACAAGTGCCAGTTATTATGGATTTTTACTGAAAAATGTACTTTATATTTGTTTTACTTAACTAACTGATGAGATACTGCATTAATTATTATCACGATTATTATATGTTTCCATGCTATATGATTACTGAATGATAGTCAAGATAATTCTTTTAGTTGTCGATTAATGAAATCACTAATATAAGATAACAAGATAATAAGATTACTGAAAGTTACTTTGAAAGTTACTAATTAGAGGTGATTAAGCTTTTTCAGATTTTTCTAACGTCCACTTTCAGACTCTGAACAAACAAACCTTTTACCTGCACAGTTCACCTTGTCCTCAAATCAAACTGAACTTGATGTATGTGTCATTTTATATTTACTATTTACAGCCAATGCTGTTTTTATGTTTAGTGTTTTGCATCTGAGATTAAACAAAAACAATGAGAAGAAATAATATATGATAGAAACATACATAATGATGATCACTGTCATTATGACTATTGTTATTGTATATTTTGTTTTATCCTGTGGTCTAAATATCTTAGTCTTCTATTTACAGTAGTCGCCTGCACATTAAACACAAAACAAATACTTATTATCACTAGTGACCAGCACATACTGGTTCTAATAACATTTTGGCACAAAAACCTTTTACTAGAAACAAAAACTAAACTATTTCAAAAGAAAAAAAAAGATTGTTAATTCTCAGAGTAAGGTTTTGAAAACAAAATCTGTTGGCCAACCAAAACCTTGCGCTTCCCAAATAATGTTTAAATGATTGAAGTGCTGCAGCAGAGACACTGACATCGTCGGATATAGAATATTGATTTAATCGCCACTCTTTTATCAAAAAAAGGAGTTTATAGTTTGGTTTAATTGCGCAGGAATTAACAATCCGGAGGTCGGCATTTATTTGTCTATTAGAAGCAATGCAAAACATCTGGAAACTGGAGCATTTATCTGATCAAGAAGCCAAATAAGCTTAAGCATCATAGATTATTACCTAAATCAGCAAATAATGTTCCACTAACACAGCTGTAGAAAGCATCTGCTGTTTCGGCTCACATGAGAGTTTTTTTTTTCCTCTGCGTAACATCTCGTCTCTTTTTTCCCTTGGTAACTTTATAGTCGGCCAACCCATTTTTCTGTCTTCTTCCCAGACTTTTTTTTTTTTTTTTTTNTTTTTTTTTTTTTTTTTTCATGTGGGCTAATACACAGGCCGGGCGCTGCAATTTCGGAATCTGCCCTTGTATATGGCGGACGAAAATTTCCACAGGAGGAACCGCAACACAAGCCCCGTGTGCAAGGCAAAGAAGCGGAGAGGCTGCACGGACCGCTCAAACCTCGGCAAATTCATGACTCATTACGCCATTACGCTTTACTAAAATGTAACGTAGCGAGTGGCGGAGGAGAGGAGAGAGAGAGAAGAAAAAAAAAAAGCGGTGGTGAATTTTTTTTTTTTTTATCATTTGGAATTTCTCATAACTAATTCACAATTTTTTTTTTTTTTTTTTTTTTTTTTTTGGAGGAAGCAGTTGTGCAGTCACCTCTGGTCGGGGGAGGGAGAAGATTTTCTGGAGCGGGAGCCTGTTTCGCATGAGCTGCATCGTTTTTGGAGGTATGTCAAACCGCTGTTTTCTTTTTTTTCTCATTTAGAAATCGTAAATTTGAGAAATTTCGGATGTTAAGTTTCAGCCCCCCCGCTACATAACCAAAAACGAGAGCTGGCAGTCTTGTTCTCGCTGCCACTAAACCAGGTGCAGGCTTTGAAGCCATCTGAAATAGACCTAATCTGTTGATGTTTTTTTTTTTTTTTTTTTTTTTCTTTCCTCCTCTCGGGGCTGAGGGGGGAAGCTAAATTTTTTAGTAATGAAGTTTGCGTGAAACTGCTTCGCTAGTCGTCTTGTGCATGTAGTTTGCTCGCATGTACGCCACCCAGGTGAAACTGTGTTTATTCCGGCGGAGCACAAGCGGACCGGGCGATAGTGGCAACATGAAGGACGATGAGGGGAGGAACAATCTGAAACACAAAAACCTCCTGCAGCCATGTTTTGTGAATTTTTTTTTTTCCTGCAAATTTGAGCAGAGCTCCGGAGTTGCCTCCTAAAGACACTCGCTCGGCCGCTAACGCCACTTTTCCTGCCGCCGTTTGACCGGTTTGTTCGTCGCACGCGGCGGAGAAAAGACACCAAAGTGTCGTCATGTCAAAATACATTTCGACTTTAATTTTTTTTTTATTATTTTTTTTTTGGGAGAGAGAAGGGGGGGGACATAGAGGATTTTAAATCTGCGGTGCCGTTGGCGCCACCTGTAGGCAGTCGTTTTTGAGAAATTAGAAATTGTAACGAGACTAGTTGTGGGGAGAGACTTATTTATTGGATTGTGTGCTGGTTGAGTTATATGCTTTGACGATGTGTTTGCATGCGGTTCAGCTGATTAGCACACTTGAGCTTTTTGCGTGCTAATTAGCGCTAAAGGAGCGTTTTTAAACTGCATTCAAAGCACTGAGCAAGAAGTCCCTTTTTTTGGGGGGGCTTTAGTCATAATGAGGAAAGGTTTCTGCAAGTCTTGCAATGTGTCTGAATAATATATAAATATCTATATATACATGTGTGTGTATGTATATTTATATGACTGTGCATCATCTACCTCCTCCCTATATCAATCCACATTAAACTCTCCTTTTTTCTCTTCCTCCTGCTGTTTTCTCCCCCCTCTAAATGCTTACTTGCATGTATTTTAATAGGCTTCCCATCTATAAGTTATTACTTGGTAAAATTAGAACAATTCAGACTTTTATTTCTGGAGATTGGAAATGTGTAAGCGGAAAGAAGAAGAAAAAAAAACTATCCAAAGTGAACTGAACAGCAGTGGAAGAAGAAAGACCATGTCAGCATAATTTGAGGGCAGGAAAAACAATCACAACCAGTGCCTCGACTGTTTATATTAATCCTGCAGACGCCAAACAGTTTCCCATCTTGCACGGCTTGCTTTTATTTTAATGTAAGGGAAACTGCAGAGGCCATTTTGCTGTGGGTAATTTTAATGCTGACCTTCAAATCTGTATTCATTCAATTCAAAGAGCTGCTGGAAATTGTATGGCTGCTATGCAAAAATCTGGGTGTAAATTCTGACCTTTGCTTGAAAAAGTCTAATCAAAATGCAGGAGTTTCAGTTAAAGTACAGAATTGGAAAGAGGCAACCAGTGTCATGAGTTTAATAGGGTTGGATCACTGTGTGAGTGATGGGAATGTTTATATGCAGAATACCTAAAGGACCAAGTAATAAGTTATAGAGCTCTCAGGAGTACTACTGCAGTCAGTGTTGTAAAGAGAAAAAAAAAGGAGAAGAAAAAAGGAGAAACACACCTTAAACCCCCGATTTGGTTAATAATGGGGAATGTATTCTCGCAGCGTTGTTCTAAGTAAGGTACGAGGAATGCTGGTCTGTCAGTACTTTAATGAACAAAAGCTTTGTTTCAGTGAGGATATTTGGAGGGAATAGTTTGGACAGAGAGGGGAAACTTGTCCCTCCAGGCTCTGATAAACACAAGATGGTGAGGGATCATATCACAGCCGGTTGGTTACAGGCTTTAAACATAGTTGCTGCTCTGATTGTCATTAACTTAGTACAAAGGCTTTCCTCTTCATTTAAAGACGAAGCCTCGGCCTTTTCATGTCATGCTATGTCTCTTTCGTTAATGCACAGCTAAAGATTAACTCTCAAATGTGTCCCTGAAAACATGCATCCCTTTAAAACATAGTGAACACCTTATGTTCTCTTATTTTCTTAGTGGCATGTTGAAAATGTCTGAAAATGGCTTCAGTTAAATTAGTCTCTGGGGAATGGCTTTTCAGGGGTTGGGAGTGCTGCATTAAAAAAATTCTGTGCATTCTGCACATATTTTTCCTGCCTCTTCCTTTGTAAAAATGAACCTTATTGGTTTCATGAATAATGCATAGGGATGTTCAATTGCTGCAGCAATGAAAATTAGGCCTGTTTACGTGCAGTGGTTATATACACAGAAGCTCCTTTTTTTTCTTGACCATTTCTGAAGGTAGAGCACAGCCTGAGTAGCTTTTCTGAAAATACAAATTTTCAGCAAAGCAAATCTCATTTCTTTGAGTGAAAAGGGGAGGGGTGAAACTCCTGCGGGTTTAATGAATCCATAAATCACAATAGTGCGAGGTTTGCTGCGCCTGCGTCAGTGTGCAGTGTAATTTTGATTTTCATCAAAAATTTAATCTGCCAGCCTACAAGGGTTTAGCAGCAGTCCGGATGCAGCCCTGAATTTCTAATTTTAGGGGCCTGATCTTTCAGGATTTATTTTTGTATAATTCAAGTCTGCTTTTCAATATCTCTTGTTATTAAATTTTAATTCGTGGCATTAACATATAGATTGAAAAGGTTTTTATGGGGTTTTTTGAGTGTATGCTGATGGAATTTTACTAGACGACACAGTTTCTTTTTCCAGAGCATCCCGTGTGTGTGTGTGAGAGGTGGGGTGGTGGTGGTGGTGGTGGTGGTGGGGGGAGGATTTATCCATTTCTCTGCATTATTGCTTTTTGAAATCGTTGGTCATACACCATCTTGGAAGACATTTATTACAGAGGACAGGAAAATGTGCATTTGATTAAAGAAACGGGGGGGAAAGCAAAGCATTTAGTGTGAAACAGGTTTTTGGTCAACCCTTGCTCCTCGTCACTGACTCTACTCTGGATAATACAAACATGCAGTCAAAGCAGTGATTGAAGTGACCCCCTCCATCCCCCCATTTTAGCTGATTCCTATTTTTAATCCCTCCAGAGTGGAAACATTTTCATGAGCCTTAAACAAATTTGTATTTTATATTTGGAATCTCCCTTCCAGTCTACTTAACATGCAGAGCATAGTGATTTTTGGCAACGCGAGGTACGATTTAAATCTTTCGAGGTTAGAAGCACAAGATTTCTTTCTGTTTTTTGTTGTTTTTTTTCTCCTTCCCTTTAACCAGTGATTGATTTACTACATTATTGTGCAGAGGCAGATACAGTACTGCCCAAATATAGGCCAATTATTTTAAGTACCTCGACGAAGCGCTCAATTCTGAACGGAGGTATGTCCTAGAGATGTTTTCCTTGTATGCCTAACCTCTTTATTTTGTAGCTCTAGAGAAATTTAGCACACTGATATACTGGTTGATACAGTGGTTTGTAGGCACGCATTGCCATTTTTTAAAACAGAGCTTGGCTAAAAGAGGAGAAAACTAGTTTTAATGAATTTACATTAATCACAACTGCCCCTTGTTTTTCACTGCCGAGGCTATCTACACATCTTTGATATCCAATTGCCATTTGATGATTTAATTTGAATACGTTTCCTGGCCTTGTGTTATTGTTTATCTCCTCTATTAGCCTTTTTTTTTTTTGGTTTAGTTGGTTTGGGTTGTGCTTTATTTGTAAGCAACATCAAGCAAACGTGCATCTGGTTTAGATTTTCATCCTGCCGTGGTGCTGTTGGTTACAGAATATCAGAAGCTTCAGACTATGAAAGAACATAAGGCCAGATGGCTAATTTTGCATTTTGACTTTAATTAGATGAAAACAGGCCACAACAGGCATTTTATATATTCAGGGTATGCATTCGAAATGCTGCACAGGAAATATTACATGGATGACTAAGGGACTGATGTAATTTAAATACGCGTGTGTCCTTGCTATTATTTCGCTGGTTTACAGATGGGGGGGAAAAAAGTCGGTTAAATTTGACTGTGTTTAGTTGGTTCCAGACTACAAGAGTCAGTTGTTTTTTGTTTAATGAGGCAATGGGATGCTTGCTTCATTTCCCCCCCCACCCCCCTCACAGTAGAGCACAAATCAATCAGGAGCCAATCAATATCAGCCGATATCCATTACAAAAAAAAGGGAGGGGGAGGAAAGATCATAAAATAAGTGAAACAAAGCTTGTCCGATATCGATTTCACGGCTTAATCTTTTGCCTTTTGTTTGCCGTTGGTATGAAATTAACAAATGGTGCTAACAGAGAATTTCTTACTCCTCGTGTAAACAAAATTGAAGACGAGCAGGACCCGGTTGCTGATTCTAACGATCGGTGACGAATAACATCCATTCAAGTAAAAGTCCTTCGAAATCCTACTAATGCAAAGGTAACACTTTATAATAACTATCCGTTATAACTAGTTAATAGATCATTTGTAAACTGTTAATTAGTGAGTAATTAACCACTTGTTAAGTGTTTGTTAATAGTTTGTTGATGATTCATAACGATGCCTTATAGATAGTTAATAAACCATTTACAAACTGTTAGTTAATGAGTTAGAAATGACTTGTTAACTGTATATTAATGATTTACAGCCATACCTTATAAACCAGTCATAGATCATGAACAAGCCATTAGTGAATTATTTACTAATGACTTGTTAAGTATCAGTTAATAGTTTATATATGTTATTGGGACGTTATTCTAAAGTTGCAACTATTCCTCATTTATTCCTCATACATTTAAGACAATGTTCAACATTCTATCTGTTGTATATCTTTGGTAAAATATAATACACAGAAAAGTCTATGGGTGTGTGCTTGTTCATGATCTATGACTGGTTTATAAGGTATGGCTGTA